GCACAAGGGCAGGCGCTGACCTCCAACAAAAAGAAGAAGTAATTTTATCGGAATACAAGAGGTTTTTCTTTTCGAAATCTGAATAGAAAGGGTACAGATTGTATTCGAATACAACGTGTAGGACCTGCACCGTTTCAATTTCGAAAAAGGACTGCCCGCACCGTTTCAATTTCGAAAAAGGACTGCGGCCTCCTCGACCTCCTACTTGCAGCTACCGGTCCTACACGTTCCTGGCCCTTGCAAGGCCCCAAAACCTCAAATGCCCACCCTCCCGACGACCACCGACGTTGAAATTGACGTTGAACGTTGAATGTCTTAGGGGGGGAAAGCGCATCCCTGACGGGCTGCGAACACCAAAAGTGATTTTGGGACCCGCGACACTTTTTTTCTGTTTGGTGGGAAAAGGATTTGAAGGTTTGTCGCCGGGAGGTTTTATGACTTTTCTTTTTTTTTTCTGGTTTGATTCTCAACCACATCAGAGAACAAACAACGGCTGACCACTTGTGCCCTCGTTGTAGTGTTTTTTCAGAGCTTGAGGTACTATGTAGTTAGGTGGTTCTGGTTTGTTGTAGGAGATGTCTCATAGGGGGTCAGTTAGGCAATGCGTCGGGATGATCAAATGGTCTGTTGTTGTCGGGCCTGTCAGCTCATTTGATTGTGCACACCAAAGGAGAGGCTTAACAAATTGACTGTGCACAACCCGTAGTTTGTTTGTTGATGTGGTTGGAGATCAAACCGGAAAATAAAAGTGTCATTGGCCTGAGAATAAAACTGCCTCGGGCCTGCAAATTACCACAAACCAAAACCACCTAAAAACACAGTACCTCACGCTCTGAAAAACCACTACCGCGAGGGCACGAGTGGTCAACCCGTAGTTTGTTTGTTGATGTGGTTGGGAATCAAACCAGAAAAAAAGGAAAAAGTCATAAAACCTCCCCGCCACAAACCTTTGTATCATTCCCCCCCCCAACAAGAAAAAAGTGTTGTGGGTCCCAAAATCACTTTTGGTGTCATTTTTTTACCCGGGTCTGTATGTTTTTTTTGGGGTTTATGACTGAAGTTGGCATTGTTTTCAATCTGAATGGTCCGACTTCATGCTTTTGTGTGACTTGGGATACACCTCTGCGATTGCAGTTGAGTAACTTTCACACGTGGTTCGGTAGGTCGGTGGGGATACACATGTTCAAAGATGGTGACAGCCCCTTGGGAAGAAGTAAGTTGCACCTCTATAAATCCTATCCTGTCATAGGGGCTCGTGAGAGGCATAGTTGGCGCACTCGGCCGGATTGGCGAAAGCTCCACCGTAAAAAAGTCATGCGCAAATCCTACGTAAAGTGGCCGGGAAAGTCCCCTTGCAGGATTGATGCGCAAGGATGACGCGCATAGAAACGAATTGTTTTTGCGATGGTCTTATTCAATTCCCCGAGGGATCGAACTCGGACCTGTATGTTAACGACCGATATGTGGGCTCCGAGAGGATGGTCGTTGGCCTCATACCAACAGATTTAAACAAAATTAAAAAAAAAAAAGAACTTACGAGGATTCAACACCAACACCGGTAAGTTAGAAGGCCTACGTCCTACCCTAGTGGGGTGGACATGCACTTGCTTCATAGGACGGTCCTAGGTAGTTTGAGCGACAAAGGCAGGCGGAGGTCTGCTAGGCCACTGGTTGGCTGGTTGCACTGGGCCCCACTCTTTATAATGAAGATTGTCTTTTACTCAATGTGGAACAGGAGCTAGCCCAATAAGTTTCAGTGTATGACTCTCACCCCACAAATATCGGGATCGATTCTATGGAAGGCATATACTGGACTAACTCCTTTTTGGTAAGGAGCAGTCCAATGCCAAATCGCGGGGCGAGAGATTTGGGTCGCGCGATTTATAAGATCGCAGGGCCAAAACAACTTGTGCCGTGAGAAGATTAGCATGGTTCTGCACAAAGATGACATGCGTGGATCGAGAAAAGTTTCGATTTTTTTTTTAGTAGACTGTGGTCTGTTCTATGGCAAAGCAATAGGAAAAAAACTGTAAAGAAAAAAAACGGTGCTCAAACTGAAGTTGAACGTCAAGTGTCACGTATAGGAAAAAATATCGTTTTAACAGGGCAGCAACAATTAGTTTTTGTACGTTTTTTCATTTTTTTTTTATTTTCTTTGTTTCTGGTTTTGTTGCATGGCAAACGTTGTTTCATAAGCAATAAGAAGCTTGGGCATTTGTTTTTTGTAAGTTTTTTTTTTTTTTTTTTTTTTAATCGTTTTTGTTTTAATGCAACAGGCGTTGTTGTCAGGGCAACGGACGCCACTCTACTATTCGTCACTAGCAGAAGTTAAAAACCATGGTGATGTATCATTCCATATTCTGGCGGAGGATTCATGCTCAGTGATACATATCGACAGTTTGGGGTGTGCCAATAGAAAAGGTAAATTCATTTTTGGGGTAACTAGGGCGCAATTACGAAAGCAGTTCCTAAAAGCATTTCGAACTGTCGTTTTTAATTCCAGTCCCGTGCGGAGTTTGCTATGCAGACCAAACTCAGCGTATGCAGAAAAGTCGCAGCACGGATTTTGGAACTGCACTTCAGTCAGCCAGGTGACCTCAGTCAGGGCCCGTCTATCCACGAACAAGAGATGAAAAAAAAAAAAAAAAAAGCATCCCTTATGCTGTGATTGCGGTCCGATACAGGATGCTACAGTACTTGTCTGGAACTGAAGGAAGCGAGGCAGTTAGCTGCCTCGCGTGAAATCCGCCCTGCCTCCGCCCTACGTGGCTGGCAGGGCGCTATAATGACCTCACAACAAGAAACAAAAAAGGAAAATGACCTGTTTCATGTTCCTCACGTCCTGGCCAGATACATTCCTCAAAGCACTGGTGACGTGAGGGTCTTCCTGACGTAGGTGGATTCTAAGTTCCTCGTTGCTTTACTTTTTTTTTTCTTCTTTTTCTTTTTTCTCTCTTTTGGCCTACATCCCTGTCCCGAGCCCCCCACTTCGTCGGAGTAGGCTACTCTTGAGACTTCGCGTTTGGCTGTGAAGGGTAGTGGCGGTTTAATATCGGTTGTGGCCGATACATCTCGGTCGTGGCCAACCTGAGGTGTGGCCGAGACATCTCGGCCGTGGCCAATCTGAGGTGTGACCGAGACATCTCGGCTGTGGCCCGACCACGGGGCTTTTTTTTTTTTTTTTTTTTTTTTTTTTTTTTTTTTTTTTTTTTTTTTTTTTTTTTTTTTTTTTTTTTTTTTTACTTTTTTTGGCAATTCGCCCCGAAAAAAAAAAAAAAAAAAAAAAAAGGCTATCTGCCTGACTGAACTGCAGTTCCAAACTCCACTGTGCGACTTTTCTGCAAAGCGGAGTTTTGACTGCTTAGTAAACTCCCTACGGGACTGAAATTAAAAACGACATTTTGAAATGCATTTAGATACTCAAACCATGACTGCGCCCTAGTTTTCTCTTCATTTTTTCTTTTTTTATCTTTATTTCTGTCTTTTTTTTTTCGAGTTCCCCAACCTTCTTATGGCTTTGTGCATTATAGAAGTTGAGAAACCGGGGAGGGCAGGTTAACGAGAAGATAGAAGAGGGGGGGAAAAGGCAGTTATGTCTTATGATAATGGAATGTGGTACAACCATTTCGGCTCTGTGGGAGCACTGTTAGCCTCCCTTTACGTTGGACATCGAATATTTTCGTTGCTGGTATCGGTGCGTGTGTAGGGAAAGAGTTAAGGAGCTAAGGAGAGTGAGAGGGAGGAAACGAGAGGGTTAGGAGGAGGAGGACCTAGTCCTTCCCACATGCCAACTGCCCTTCCCGTTTTCAGAAGGAAGTAGAAGAAAATGAAAGGGAAAG